ATTATGGAAGTAAGCATGATTACTTGGATTTTAACAAAGGTTAATGAGAGTAATTTGGGGGTTTTCACAAAAGGGTTTTAAATTTCAGCTGTATAGTTAGGAGCAGATAAAAATTAGAAGACAATGCAAACATACGTTATTCAGAACTGAAACTGCAGACAGGGAGGAAGTTGGCTGGATTGAGCTCTTTCTATGAGATAGTAGTTATTTGAAAGAAATGTTGAATCCTACTTAAATAGCCTTAAGATGAGATCTATAGCTTCATACAATTGAAAAGGGCCAATAATTTAGGTACCTCTTTTGTACTAAAAAGAGATTTTTTTTAAAAGAAAACTAAGAATTTAAAACAATGCATAGCTAAAAAGGAAAAGTCAGTTTAAATCATTGCATAGGGAAGAGATTGTCACGTTGATAACATAATGCATAAGACAAGAAATAAGGCTCCATGTGGCTTTCTTTTTCATTTATATTCCTTTCAGTAATGAAATAGAATCTGTTACCCTACATCTATTTCATTAGAATTTTTGAAGCACCTGTCAGCTATCATCGGTTTATACATATTTCAGGTTTTCCTGGTGAACACATGCAATGATGCAGGTCCATATGTCCACATATCTGGGCGTAGAGATACCACATAATTGTTGGATTACCTGCCTGGACTTCTCCCATGTATTGTTTGGGGATGTCACCTTCTGTCAGTCTAATTACTTCTCTAGAAGCGGCTGCTCTCTGCTCACTGTGTGACAATCACGACTTTGTGAATACACCCCAGAAGCCTCTGCAGTCAATTCATCTAGCCCAAAAGTGTCACTCTTTTGTGGCAAGCTGGCTTCGGTATACAGGCTCCCTGAAGACTTGCAGAGTCTCTCGGGGGGAGGGGGCAGAGTCTCTTTAGATGCAGTAAGGAGTTGGAGTTGGTGGTTTGACTAGATACCTTGCCTTCTCTTGGCACACAGGGAAAGATTTCTTCATAATATTATTTGAAGAACACCATACATAATACAAGTCCCATCTATGGCTTCTATCTCTGTTAAAGAATGGCTGTCGGAATGCCTACATTACCTGACCAGAGACACTTATAAAAAGATCAGAGACACTCTCGAGGCCAACAGTAGGGAGTTTGATTTTGCTGGAAAAGTCCTATAGGAATACGCTTTGAATCCATTTAGTAAGCCCTTTCGTTCATATTGACTATTCATTACTGTGAATAGACAGACTTGGCTGGGGCTAACAGTAGCTCCTTTGTCATCATTAAACAGCTGTAGATTTTAATATAATAAAGATAAAACCGTTCCTCTAGTTCTGCATTCACACTATGGTATTCAAGTTTGTGCCACCACTTCCATTTTCCAAGCTTTATAATTCCACCATAATCATTTGTTCTTGGCAGAAATATGTTATGCAAGCACTCAGCTGAGGATAATATTTTTGAACAATTTTTCCAGTGTTCTGGTTATGTGATTATGGGCATTTAGAGCTCGATATTAATTTACTCTCAGATTTTGTGTTTCTAGGTCTCAAAAAGCTCTTTTTTTGAAAATCACACAATTTAGCTTAAATCATTACTTCCATACCAGTCATGTTTATTGCAAGAAGAATTTATTGGGAGAAAATCAGCTGCTGGTTTCCCCCTGTTCATTGCATTTCCATGCTGCAAACTTTGTCTGCCTTACTAATTCACATCATGCTTCAGGTAGGAAGTGACTAGGGATTCTTTTGGTTCCTTAATCCATAAATTAAGTGTTTGGTTGACCATCAGACACTTCAGCTCTTGACTAAAAGTTGATAGCATAGCTTAGTTGGTAGAGGTCTTGCCTCCCAAGGAAAGAGGTCTGGGTTTTATCCACAACGCAATATAGACCAAAAATGATAACACATGCCTGTAATCCTAGCACCTGGAAGGTAGAGGCAGAAGAATCAGAAGTCCAAGGTCATTTCAGCTATAGAGCAATTTCAATGTCAGCCCGGACTACTTAAAACCTCGTCTGAAAAAAAAAATGATGTCTAGGAATTGTTGTCATCCTTAAATTTTTCCCCAAACATAATTCATTAAATTTTCAACCTAATATTTACGAGTGTTGAGTGAACTGCTGAAGTTGAACTTGAGTCAAACAGAGAAGGTCATGTTTCTCATTTCTTAAAAGCAGAAAACTTCAACAGGGAGAAGTCAGTCACTCCTCTTTGTCCCCAAGCAGTGACCAAAACTTTAGCTACTATGGTTGGCAGTACTAGTTTGAGATCTGTCATATGTTTCCTAAGTTCGTCATGAAGCACTTGTGAGACAGAATGAGTTAATATTTGTAGAGGTATTTTGCTAAAATATAAGCAATGTTTGAATTTTTATAAACCACAGTATCTACCCACCCCAAGCTTTGGGAGAATATTTAGCACACACGTATGTGCCAGATGGATTGTAATGACAGTTGATAGGCCTCTTCTAACCCTTGCGTTCTGTTGTCAGAAATCTGCATATCAAAACAACGATATTTTTTAGAATAAGATTTATTGTATAAACCACACATTGAAAAAATCTACTGTCTATTAAGACTCTAAATTAACATCACACGAGGCTTTAAGCTAAAGGTTTTCATAAGAATATCTTAACATGCCTAATACAATATAAATAATTAGCTTTTGAAAGCTACTAAATATTTTCTTGATCTTATCTACTTTTCTCCATAATGTGAATTATTTTTTAAAACTGTATATGTGAGTTGTTGTGTATGTTCTATGTGTGTCTAATGTTAAATGATTGTAAGTGTGGGTATGTGAAGGTGTACATGTGGGCGTGGATGAATGTGTGTACATGAGCACGTGAAAGCCACAGGTCTGATCTCCTTTCTGGACAACACCCCACCTTTAATAATGGAGGCATGGCCTCTCACTGAAGCTGAAGCTTACTTATTCAAGATAGATTAACTGGCCAATTTGCTCCAGGGATCTGCCTTCTCCACCCTCTGTCTCAGGGTGAGGATTTGTGGGTACACACCATCAAGCCCAGCTCTTTTACATTAGTTTGGCTTAGAACAACTTTGTCCTCCTGCTTATGTGGCAATGAGATATTTCTCCAATCCTGTAAGTGAATTATGAACAACAACAACAACAACAACAACAACAACACACACACACACACACACACACAGAATGTAATGCAGGACACTCTGTTTCCTTAAGAGCTCAAGAATCCATAGAGGTCAAAGCAAAAACACACAATAATTCATACCACAAGTAGAGTGTTTGTTTGGTTAATATAATACTAACAAAAGAGTTTTAAATGTAAGAAGTTAGTAAATGAATTTTCATCCCCGTGTTTTATGATATTCTCTCTAGTGTTATTGTGGGAATTCTTGATGAGTTCTTGTTCTAGACCAAAATCTATGGTTATAAACTCATGAGAGGGGGGCAGGTGGCCCCACCAATTAAAAATTCCCCAAGATTAAAATGTATATTTTACCATCTTATGTCAAAGTATTCATTTTAATATTCAAACATCTTACCACATAATAAACTGTAACCATATGTTTGTTATATTATACCACTATAACATTAATAAATATTTACAGATATGCATTATACCCTAGATGTATGAGACATGATAGCTCTCAGTTCCATTTTAAGTACAAGCCTTCGATGCCTCAAGAATTAATTTTAAGTAACATTGTTGAACACTGATCAAAATCAATGCATTTGAATTTTTAAGCTGGACATTCCCTTGGAAAATGGCATCATTTATTTTCCCCAAATGCATCAATTAGAGAAGGATTATTATCTTGGTTTTCAGACCTTTGACTAGGTGCTTCAGTTTTTGCTTTTTTTATATCTGAGTTCTGTATTTAACACGGATCAGTGCTGCAGAACTTCCCATTAGTGAAAGACAGATAACTGTGCATCTCTTTGTAACCAACCCTTGTATTACCAAGAAAAATAAGAAATAGCATGTGTAATATTCTTAATTATTAACATGTCAGGGTATGTGATTAATCAAAAGTTTTGTGATCTTCAAAACCACAATAATATTTCTGTCTACAGGATTGTACATAGTTTCATGGAAAACCATGTTTTTTTAAAAAAGAATAAAATTCAGAACTCCTGACTCATACTTTTCCAAATGGTTCTGCTGTTTTATTAGTATTTATTCCTTAGTGACAGCTGAAACTAGAGCAGACGACATCAGGAGACAGGAGGCTGGCACTAAGCCACTAGCTTCACTCTCACGTGTCGGAAGACTCTCAGGCTGATCCCTAGTCAGCTGAAACCAGACGTCTTTGCTGTTTGATAACTAGACTTGGTTGCCTATATAATCCTGTCTTCCTTACTCAGCCCAGGATAATGAAGTCCTAAGTTGCTCAGCCATCCAAATGTTGCTTCTAGCTCCTGTTTGGAAAGATAATTTCTCAATATTAGAAATTTCAATACAGAATCTCACACTTACACAGAACTCTAACAAGCAAAAATAATTCTTCCAAATGAGCTTCTTCCTTGTAAGTGCTTCATGATTAGCTGGCTTTCCTTATGCCCTTTTGCTGTAGAGTGCCAGGGGTGGAAAGGAAAAATGATGTCAACCACAACGCTAAATCCAGAAACAGTGTTTGCAACCTTTCTGCTTTTTTCATCTCAAAATCTGAATTCACTGTGCAACATCCTGACTGCTTATATTTCTGTGGGAAAAGATTATTGTAGTGCATTGCACCTCGCACATTGTATTGGGTTGTAATTGTTTTTCATTATATATGTCTGTCTTAACTCCGTATCAACAGATTTCACCTTCTTTGTTCATTAACTGAATTTAGCCACAAACAAGATGGTTTCTTGTTCCTTTTTTAAACTATTAATGAACACTCTGTTGAAATGATTCAATCTCTCCTTGTGATTTCTTTTCATAAATATTGTATAACATATATAATAATCTTAAATGCTAGACAGATTGACTTTATATAATATCCCTAAATGTCTCTTACAGCCTTTGTCGAGGTTTGAACTTTCCACATTATGTATTTCAGACTTTGAGAAAGAAGGGCCTTAATGGCTGTGACAGCCCAGATCCCGATGCGGACGATTCAGTAGGTCACAGCCCTGAGTCTGAGGACAAGTACAGGAAAATTAACGAAGATATTGATCTAATGATCAGCAGGCAAAGATTGTGTGTAAGTACTCAAAGCACCCTTCATTTTTGTTTACTCTTGATTTCTCTGAACCTGGCAGGCATTGAACAAGAAGGAAAACAAAGGCTCTGAAAGCCCCGATCCTGACTCCTCTTATGCCCTCACCCCACGCACTGAAGAAAAATACAAAAAAATTAATGAAGAATTTGATAATATGATCAAGAGTCATAAAATTCCTGTAAGTACCAAAGGTAGATGGCTGATGTGCTGGTAACCGCTACAGTAACATACCTTAACCCTCTCAGTGATGGCTTGCTCTAAGAAGCACTGCAAAGTCAGACAGATAAAATGGCCATCTCATCCCACAGGCAATGCGTTTAGAAAGCAACCCCTATGGGATACTAAAATTACATTATCTCAAAGAGTTGCCATGGAGAAGTTCACTCCGAGGTAGAAGAGTTCACAAGAGAAAGAGAGAAATCTATGTGACATGCCCTGAATTTACACGGCCTTTGCAACATGCAAGAAGTTCTCACACAGATCACAGTACAGGAAAACAACACAAGAATTGCCTTCCACACAAGTTTTGTATGCAGAGACCAGATACATGAGTGGAACTCTTTCCGTCATGTACAGAGAGTCCTGACCTTAGTAAAGGCTGGTTTCTGAGTGACACATCAGCCCCTCCCCATGCACATGAAATCCAACAACAGCACTGAAGGGCTAAAGCTAATGAGCTGCAGGAGGCAGAGTGCATGAAACCTAACGGTAAGACTTCAACATCTGTGTGATTTTAAAGCTTTTGTTAGAATGATATCTGCTTTGCCCACACCAGCGTTTTCCATGCTTTAACTTTTGGCTAAATTTTGTCTTAACCGATTCAGAAATTTTCTAACAATCAATGCCTTGCCAGATAGTTAAGAAAAATAGCTGTGCATGTATAATTTTGTTTGTTCAGATGTATAGGGGAAAATGACTATTGTTAGATTTGGTTATCAATCAAGCACTATTAATTCTGTAGCATAAAAGGGATATACTCAAGGCTCTCATGATATGACTAATGTTAGTACCTGAATCCTAATTTGTATACAGGCTTCTCAGTACATAATTAATTTTTTTTTCAGAAAAGTGTATTTCTGGTAAGTTAGCAAAGCAGCTCAAACCTGAGTATTAAAAACCGATCTGCAGTGAAAGTGGGCTTTGTTAAATAACATACAGATATTTGAGGTGAAAAGCTGTAAACATATCCAGACTATACTCACAAACTAACTGATTCATTGCCACAGTCAGCACAGACACAGCCTTTGCTGGTTTAAATGAACCCTTTAAAATTTATTTGCAAAATTGTGCTTAGTAGAAACTCTGTCTTCATGACGCCTTACTTTTCCTTTTACTAAATGAAATATTATCAGCAATACAGCTGTTTTTTAAGCTTTACGTTTGAGATCATAATGTAATTATGTCATTTCCCCTGTCCCTTTTCTTCCTCAAAAGCCTCCCATATGCCCTCCTAGTCTTAAAGGTCTTGCTTCGTTCCAGTACTCCACACATGTTCACAGTATTTTACCCATCAAAAAAATCCATATATGCTTGATAAGTGTATGCAAAATTCTCAAATGATAAAATGTCCATCCAAATTTATTTTACCCAGAAAAGTGAAATAAGCAGCTTCTTTGGATCAACATCCAGTTCTTCGAGCCTGAGTTTCTTTGGCTATATATAGAAAAGACTGGTTTAATGCTCTGTGCACAAAGGTTTAAATGTAGGACTATAGGCAGTGCCTTCAGTAATGAGGTCAAAAGAATCATCTGCATAGATCAGAAAAAGGCAAATACCTTCCAGACTGCTGATAATCTTCAGCAAAGCTAAACCTAAATATGGAGAAAAAATGAACCCCCAAAGTTTTAGAGGGAGGGTATTCAGGGATCAGTTTCCCTATATTTAAAGGGAAAGAAGATGCAATACCTAGATTCCCCAAGATCTTTCACCCTGTCATGTGAAAAGCCCCAAAATCAAGATACATAACTTGTTAATAGGTACAAGAATGTGTTGCAGAAGGTAAAAAACACATGAGAGTCTATGGGCAGAGCACTAAAGAGAAGCCACAGGCCTCTAGCTGGGCTATGGTCTTCATGTCTTACCGAGTGGCTCAGCTTCTGCGATGAAAAGCCCAGTTTTCACACATTGCTCTCAGTGGCTGGAAGTCCATACCGTTGAACATTTTCACAGCTGCTAAAATATCTACAGCAAGGCAAGGACACTCTGCCCTTTGTGTGTAGAGTGTCTTGGACTCTTAAAAACATTACAAGACTGTTTCCCTATTTCAAAGAACCAGTGGGTAGCATTTCCCTTTTAAAACAGAAAATTTAATACTGAAGTCACCTGTTGGAGTAATATAATTTATGCCCATATCCCTCAATTACACAAAATAATTCATGGGTGATTTGGAATCTTGTCGACCAGCATTTCCTCCCGCTGGGTTTGCTACAGCTCATGCTGGGAGTCATGACAAGCAAAACAGCTTCAGTAGAGGACCTGGGGATTAGCAAAATGGCTGAAAGAATGAGATGTAGAAGCAAACTTGTTTTAGAGGAAATGAGAAAAGAGAAAATAAAAAGAAATGTCCATATTTTCTTCCAAATGATGTACTTTGATGAGAGAGACTTGATGTTGTACCTAGAATCAACAACAGAATTAATGTGCAAATCGGTTGAAATGATTTACATGCAAAGTAAAAATACTTAAAAAAAAAAAAAAAAGGAAAAGATTGAACACATAGGTCTGATGGGGACAGCATGGTAAAGTTCAAGGAAGAGGATGGAAAACTAACAGAGATGATGAAGTCATAGCAGGGTTGAAGTGAATAGAGAGAAGTTAGGTGGGGTGACCGGGTATCACCCGTACTTAATTGAATCCAGGGCAAGTGAGGGCAGATACTCAGATAGTGATGAAAGTCTGCACACTGAGTATATACAGGGAATGAACAGGTGTATGCTGTACCTACTAGGAAGTCATGAAAAAATTGGGATACGGGCAGTTGGTAGTCACTGGTCATTAGACTTGAATTACATTATTTTCTCTACTAGGAGATCTGAAGCTTGGCAATAAGAATTCAATTAGTAGCAAAGCAACAACAAAACAGAGGATTCAGTTCAGCTGTTCACATGAATAAAAGAAGGTCCATTAACTAAAAGAAATATCTTACCAAAGATTACTATGTGATTTTTATCAGAATTTTTTGGGTGGAGCTTTTGAGGATATTAAGAGTTCAGATGCCCTTTTTCCTGGGATATCACACATGAAGAGCCCTGTCTACTCTTCAGAGACAGTAGCCTCAAGCTAAGCAGCCACCCTCTCTGCATCACTAGGACAAGGACAACCTGCTTGCTGCCACTCTTAAGTCCTTCACATTCTTAAAGCAGCAGCTCAGCTCCCTCTTCTTCGAGTTTCTGGGTTAGAAAGACAAGCCTATCCACAGCACTTTGATCGCCCAAATTCCGCTTTCCAGAACTGAGTATTCTAAACTTTTAGAGGCTGCTAAAATGATATAATTACCTTTAGGGGACTTCTGTTTTTGAACCCACAAGTTTTAATATAAATCTCTTAAAGGTTCCTAATTTTGAAAATCAAAAAGGAAAAGAATAAGGCAGATTTCTTCCAAACATTTGGGTTACATTACCCTCTACATTACTTCCCAAGTATTCAGAAATGCTCATTATCTTTATCTGTGCAATCATCTCGTCACACGGATAAGGAAATCAGGGCCAAGGAGTACTAAATGGCTCCCTGGTTAGTTGGCAACTCATTATCCAAGTGGGCTGCAGCTGAGATGTCTTTGGAAAAGGCTAATCTTGATTTGCTAAGACATCATATCAGTGTGGTCATGTTAAGCTTATAATCTACTTTCAAATTACTGTTGATAGTTCCTGACATGGCTTGAAGCAATGAAACAAACAACAGAGTCCACCAGTGATGTTGGTGTCTATTGTGAGTTCAAAGCTGTTTAGGTATGCTCTGATACTGGGATGTGTCTGCTTCTGCTTAGCCAATCCTAAATGGTTGTATAGTGATCCTCTTCAAGTTGTTATGGTCCAGTGTGCTAGAAACTCAGTGATTCTTCAGGGTGATGCTTAGAAGAGAAAAGGAGTTTGGTGACTTTCACTGAACTGGTTGGTAGGATACCTCAGTTCATTGCCTACCTCCTGTATTGTGAATGTACCTATCTCTTAGGGGAAGAGAGATAAACTTGGCCCTCTAGTGAGTCAAAGTCAATATTCTATTCAATATGAGGGGAGACTGAGCTCTGTAGTGATGCTTAGGGACCTAGTGAAAATGGAATATTTATAAATAGGAACAATAAGCACATATTAAAAGATTTGAAATCAATAGCAGTTTTAAAAGTATGGACTTTTGAGTAATATTGAAGAAGGGAGTCTTTAAAATTCATTTTCCCAAGGCTTCAATTGTATAAGTTTGTTAATCATGTGGCCCACAGATGGTAGTTTACTAATACCCAATATGTGTAAATAATATGATCTCTGACTACAAAATTTTATTTGCTCCAAAATACTAATCTGTACTGCATAGTGATCTAGGATCAAAACCAGAATCAATCACTAGTTCAATGGCATTGGGCCATTTTCTCAATCTTACTGTTTTGAAAAAGAAAGACATTATGCACAATGAAGGAATAATGACAGGGTTAAATTGCATCAAGTATGGAAATTACACACCCTAGTGCCTATCAACAGAATATATGTAGGAACTGGAAATCTTATGCTTTTAATATTAATACAGTATATTCAAAAATCTCCTTTGCAGAGAAATATTCAAACATATAATAAGAAGAGTACATTTTGAATTGCTTAGAGTAACAGACCTTGAGTACTTTGGTGAACTGGACCATTTCTAACCAACATCAAAATCTTTTTAAATTGTAAGAGACGAGAAATACATCTAAGATGGGCGTAAGGAGTAAGCAAGGTGACAGATGAAATAGAATAGTTAAGGTGGACTTCTTAGAGATTGCAGGTCTTTGAGAAGAAATTTATGTGTGGTACTGGAATTAATCGTGGTATTTGGTCAAGAATGAGAAATTTGGGCAAGGGTGGGCTGACAAGCATGGGATAGTGGAGGTTAGTAAATGCCCAAATTTGGAGGATATCTAGGCCTTTGGAGGAAGTGGAACTTTTACTTTAAGTAGAATGGGCACACTGGTGGGGGTGAGCAGAAGGATGCTGGGGAGAAGCAAAGGGATGCTGGGGGCAAGCAAAGGGATACTGGGGGCAAGCAGAGGGATGCTGGGAGCGAGCAGAGGGATGCTGGGGGTGAGCAGAGGGATGCTGGGGGCGAGCAGAGGGATGCTGAGGGCGAGCAGGGGATGCTGGGGGTAAGCAGGAGATGCTGGGGGCCAGAAGAGGGATGCTGGGGATGAGTAGAGGGATGCTGGGATAGAGCAGAGGGATTCTGGGGGCGAGCAGGGGATACTGGGGGAGAACAGAGGGATACTGGGGGCGAGCAGGGGATACTGGGGGCGAGCAGAGGGATGCTGGGAGCGAGCAGAGAGATGCTGGGGGCAAGCAGGCGGATGCTGGGTGTGAACAAGGGGATGCTGGGGCGAACAGAGGGATGCTGGGGGCGAGTAGAGGGATGCTGGGAGCGAGCAAAGGGATGGATGCTATGGGTGAGCAGAGGGATGCTGGGGGTGAGCAAAAGGATACTGGGGGCAAGCAGGAGGATGCTTGGGCGAGCAGGAGGATGCTTGGGCGAGCAGAGGGATGCTGGGGGCAAGTAGAGGGATCCTGGGAGCGAGCAGAGAGATGCTGAGGCGAACAGGGGGATGCTAGGGGTGAGCAGGGGGGTGCTGGGGCTGAGCAGAGGGATGCTGGGGATGAGCAGGGGGATGCTGGAGATGAGCAGGGGGATGCTGGGCGAGCAGAGGGATGCTGGGGGCGAGTAGAGGGATGCTGGGAGAGAGCAGAGGGATGCTGGGGGTGAGCAGAGAGATGCTGGGGGTGAGCAGGGGATTCTGGGGGCTGAGCAGAGGGATCCTGGGGACAAGCAGAGGGATGCTGGGGGCGAGCAGGGGGATACTGGGGGCAAGCAGAGGGATGCTTTCATATAAGGTGTGCTTCAAAGGGTCAAAATCCTGATGGTTTTGTGTTAATAGTAAAAAGCAGGAAGATGAGGCCCAGCACCGTTAGATATGTCAAGAAGCAACTACAGGAATCACCATAGTGGTGCTGGGAATGAGGGAGTTCGCACGTCTACCCAGAATTCCAAATTGTGCTCACCCCAAATCTGTAGAACTAATATCATGATCTAAGGTCAAAGCCAGAAACAAGTACCAAACTCAAGAGTATAGCTGAAGATAGATAGATAGATAGATAGATAGATAGATAGATAGATAGATAGACAGACAGAATTAAAGGAAGCATGAGAGAGAACTGAGGTATGTTAGGATTTGGAACCTACAAGCTGTTACCTGCAGGCCTAATGGAAGTGGAGCAAGAAATGACGACAGCAGGGCAAGAGAGCCACTCAAAGGTATGTCATCCTGTGGATGAAAGCAGCCCTGCAATACAGCTGCGGCCTAGCGAGAAGGATGCTGCTTCAAAACATGCACTGGCCTCTCTACTCCACGCTGGGCTGTTGCTGCTGCCACTGCCTACACCAGTGGCCAAAAAGCCTGGTTGACTTATCTGGAGCCCAGGGCAGAGAGAAAAAGATTGAATGATCGTGGCTGCTTAGCACTATTATTGTACTGTCTTCACAGGTGACTTCTGTTTTCATTTGGCATTTCAGGAAAGGGATATGTTTACCACTCTACGGACACTTATGCCTTACAAGTACATTAATATTTTTTCTTGTTTAACAGGGCTTTGGATATTTAGGTATATGTTCATGCTTTGGTATGTTATCATGCATTATATTCCATTGTCATAGAGTTTGTCCGAAAGTCATTTTCTGTTAGCTTGTGTACAACCCACAAATGACCTAAAACACAGATATATTAGGATGTCACTTGAGCATTTTTATTTCCCTTAAAAACAGTAAAAAAAAAATCATTTGAAAGAAAGTTGTGAAATCTTTGCTTTTATCAGTATTTGTAAAACTATGAGAGCATAAACATCAACAGAGAACTCACTATAGGTGTCAACAACATAAGCAGATGCAGGCCAGCCAGTCAAGCAATCACAGATAGTTGATGTTAACTCTAAAGAAAAAAAAACTAATAAAACTGAAAGCAATAACAGCAAACCAGCTGAGCCAGGAATAAACATGCGTGCAAACTTGGACAACTTCTTACTGATAACCTTAGAGGGCTTGTAGGTATCCTTGTGTGTATACACACACGAGCAATATTTCATTCTAAATGTTGTGTGCCTTGGTACCAGGAGTCCTCTGGCATGTATTTGGACAGTATTTTCATTTGTAATGCTGACAAAAGGAGAAAGACAAGAGTGTTTACAACTACGATGAGTTCCTGCAAGCAGAAACAGAAACAGAATTTTGCTTAAATTGCCAAAATAATAGCAAAAAATCAATAATTGGAACCTAGATCACTCTAATTAGACAACCACACAGCTTCAGCTCCCTAAATATTTGCCAACTCTCTCATTTGAGATATAGATCTTGCCATGTGGCAAGGGCAGTACCTATACAGGAAAATGTGAAAGTTTCCATATTTTCTGAGCTATCCCTTTAAAATGCGAGCTAGTGAATGATACACACTTTTCTGAAACCTGTACCTTAAAACGCCTATTATCTTTTGAGTGCTAATAAAAGGCAGACTTTTAAAAATAATAATTAAACTATATGTGCTATTCACAGGCCTGAAGATGATTTTATATCATTAAACTTCTGCATAAATATGCTTCAATAAGCAATTAAACCAAAGGATCTGGTTTGCATTTTAATCCCCCCTTTTCTCTGGGAAGTCATCACAGTCATGTACCTTTGATCTTACAGTCATTTCTGGCACCAGATTCAGATATCACAAATGAATAATTATTGCTTCATAGAATGGAATTCAAAGACAATGGAGTCTAATGAAATGGGGCTTTGTTTCGCACAGAAGTGAAATATTTTCTAAGAGTCGCAAAGAAAGAGTTCTAAGCACGGTGCAGAAATCCATTTATGATTGTACATCCTGAGATCCCTTCTTGATGGTAATCTACAGATTGTACAGTTTGGAATCTGACGTTTTTCTTGGAGAAATTAATGTTGTTTGCTACTTGAATGCCCTGTTAGTACCTTTCCATCGTACTTACACGGCTTTTCCCTTGTTTCTGCTCCACAGGCTGTTCCACCTCCCAACTTTGAAATGCCGGTTTCCATCCCAGTGTCGAGCCATAACAGTTTGGTATACAGTAACCCGGTCAGCTCGCTGGGAAACCCCAACCTTCTGCCACTGGCCCACCCTTCTCTGCAGAGGAATAGTATGTCTCCTGGTGTAACACATAGACCTCCAAGTGCAGGTAACACAGGTATGTCCTTCACAGGACAAAATGTAACAAGTTGTTGGAAGGGCCCTCTTCTAGCCAGAGCTTTCTCACCTAGGCGATGCACTTTGGTCTCCCATTTAGATCTTTTTATCGCTTAACAGCCACCTTTTACCAGGCTCACTGTGTGACACAGTCTAAGCTCTTCAGAGTATCGTTCAAAATATTTCGTAACCCATACTTCATTTTTTTGACTGTCAAGTATCTCCTCCAGTGGCTATATTTTAACCACATTCTTTCTCAAACAGTGTGTCAAATATCTAGTCTGCATACTTTTGTTCCCTCTCTCATCTGCATAAAGTATCATCTTCTCTCTTCTGCTTACGGAAAAGTCACCTCTTACGTGAAACCATTCTCTGCCCTCCAATTGCATCTGCCCATATATGTAATTGTCTGGATCAAGTGGTTTTTGAAACAAATTATCCCAGAATGAATATAAGGTAGGAAAGAACTGTGTGGTCCACTGGCACAACCTGTGAGGGGTGTGAAATAAGAACTCAGCTGAGTCAGAAATTCCATCAAAAGCACGTCACATGCTCACAGACACTCACCACAGATGTGCCTCGGTGTTATAAAAGATCCTCAATTCACAATGTCCTAGAGACATGAAATTACTGCTCAGGAAAAAAAAAGAGCCATTCTTAGTATGTGAATCAGGCTAAATATGTTATGATGTACTGTATTGAATGTGTCCTTTTCTCCACTGGACTTGAAGCATCTTGAAAGGAAGAAAATGCCCATTTGATTTCCCAAGCTCACAGTGGGAGCTAAGTCAGTGTGTACTGATATAACTAAGCCATTCCTTCATAGTTCCAGAAGCAGCATCAAAAATAATTTTATTTCTAATCTCGTGCAACAGTGTATTGTGTACTTCTATTCTGGTTTTCAGGAAGCACTCCACAGGGTACTTTCAATAACTAAGGCACATTTAGCTGTGCTTAGGTGAGCTTATTTATGGAAGAACTTTTCTTCAAGAAGATTTTATAAATCATGAGCCAGGGAAGTGTATACAAAAGACTTCACTGTGCCATTCTCTCTTTTAGAATATGGTTGAAATTTTATATAAATTTTAATAGCCATATAAATTCCTTTCAAATCATATTTAGATGTATTTGAATGACCTATTTGATAACTCATATTCATTTATTATTTCAAATTTGACACTGTCGTCAAAATTATACTTGGTGGGAAATAACAATTTTCTAAAATATAGTAAACATCTTTCCTGATTCTGAAACCTGGAACCAAGTAATTACAATAAAGTACCACTAAGGAACAACTAAGAAATCTCAATAAAATGTTATTGCCACTATTTTTCTAGATCCTGTATTTTAAAATTTTTAAAAGAATCGTTATATTCAGTCTTACTGAAAGTCCACAACTGTCATTAAGAAACATAGTCATTCATTTATTTGCTAATTTTGATGGAGGCATGCAAGTGTCACTGCCCATCTGTGGCCACAGGATGATAGTGTGCAGGAATTCATTCTCTTCCATTGTGTGGGTCCAGGAGATGGAACACAGGCCACCATGCTTGGTGAAGGAACTACCATACCTACTGAACCATCTTGCCAGCCCAAGGTTTTATATTGTCTCTTAAATTAACAACAAATTAGCATGTTTTTAAACCTGTGGCAAAGAAAACTTATTTATCATGTCATTAAGTAAAATTCAACTAGAAATATTCGTCAACTTCTGAGAAAATAATATTTCTCGTCAATAAGTGTTACACTAATTTTATAAAATATATTTAGGAAGAAACTAGACGTCAGACAGATGGATATCAAGGCAGAGAGTGGAAATAAAGTGGGGTTTTCTTTTTATTTACTGTAAGGTGCCTCTTTAGGGGAAAACTAGACTTGAAAATAATAATGCAGAGACTATTCACAGACAACAGTTTTCTAATGTAATCATTCCTAGAGAAAAAAATCTGCGAAATGTCAGTGAGTGAATGTATTTTTAACATTTGAGCACAGCATGTCACAATAAAACAAATGTCAGCCCTCCAACATAGGTAGAACTATTTAAGATTGTCTCTCAGGAGAGGACAATGGCTGAGTACTGAAGGCACTGTGCTCGGTTCCATTTCCCCTTAGCCTTTCTCCTTTTCATCTTCCTCTTTACTCCATAGGTGGTCTAATGGGTGGAGACCTCACATCCGGTGCAGGCACCAGCGCAGGTAAGCACAGACAGCAGCTCTGGAGCAAGCATGTGGCATTGGCCACAGTCTGTGGGTGGTTTTGAAGGAGGGGTGGTTGAACGCTATACAAAGGAACTATGGACTAACCGCAGTCTTCGTTGGTACAGCTTTAGCCAAGGCGAAGCAGTCATCAACCTGAACTGCCGTGTTCTTTGTTAATGAAAACAATGTACTTATATCATTTCTGCAGTTAGGGAAGACTAAGAAAAAAAAATAAAATAACTTCATCCGGTCTGCAGACAACTGTAGATGCTGATCCAGTCACCTCAGTCCCTGATACCACTCTTAGACATCAATAGACTATGTTGCCATGGAAAACCTTTAAATATATTTCATCTCTTAAGAATATCCTCAACAGTGACTAGTTGTCTCATAATCACATTTATTCGGGTTCCTAAATTAATTTATAATATTGGGATTATGAAGATGTTGCTTTACTTTTCAATGAAGATAAATAATATAGCACAGAACTTTTAAGTGCCAACTCTAGTTTACTATCAGTGTAAAAAGTAGCCTTGGTAATTTCTACAGCTGGAACATGCTATCAATTTAAAATAGGAGGCAGGCATGAATGACACAAGGTTATATTTGAAGTGTCAAAAAAATCAAGTTTTATTGAAATATGCATGGACAGCCTAATTAAAACAGTTTGCTCAGGTCAAATATAATAGCCTGCTAATTATAAGAAAGAAGATAAGGAAAATTGGCATACAAAAACATTTTTATACATACATCAATTGGAGGTGGTGTCTCTTCTGGGTACTGAGTTTTTATTACTTCAGTGAGTGATGCAGAAATATCAGAATCACATGGACAGTAGATAGAAAGGAGGGATAACTGTAGCTCCCTACCTTAAAATTTTCAAAGGTTAGGTGGAGGCAAACTAGTAAGTAGATTCAGTAGTATTTTTTTTAGAAAATGAATTTGTCATACTTGTTTTTTTTTTTCTGCAGAAAATACTTTGTAATTAGTAACATCAAAATTCAAAAACCAGAAAAAGTCCAGACAGGTATTTCCTAGATCGAAGATCACACACTGGTTAGAGTCAGTGGTGGGCTGATAGGATAGTCACAAGGACCAAATCATAACCTAAGGAAAGGAGTACAGATGCTATGACTTAGCCAGTATTTCACTACGCCACCTTGATTACTATTAAAGAAACAGTCAGTCATAGAAGTAAATATTAAGAAAAATGCGTTTTTGTTTTTGTTTTGTAAATGTGTGTGGGTGGGGGGGGAAATCCTTGGGTTACTAAACTTTGATGCAAATGGTCTCTTGCCACTATTTAATAGCAGTGACGCTTTAGAATCCAATGTTGACAATAAGAAGTGTTTGATTATTCAGTTCTGCTGTTATTGTTAATTGCCTGACAGCCTGCTAAATTTAATCATTCTCCAAGAATAAAGGAGATATTCAGTCTTCTAAATATAAAAGGTTGCCATATACAGAGTATAGAACCATTAAAAAAAAATCTTAGGAGTTAAACCAACTCATCCTACTACCTCAGAACGTATGCCACAGGCACATGACGCCTTTTATCTAGAAATAGAAGATATTAGGCTGGCAATATGGTGCAGTGGGCAAGTGTTTGTCAGGCTGGGGACTCAGCTCAGAGAGTAAGTGCTTGCCATTGGTTCCTAGCAGTCTGAGCATGGAGGCTCTGTGATCATGCTGTGTTCCTGTGGAGGATCTGAAGCAGACAGAGAGCATCATCCTAATGCTCCTGGACCAGTTAGCCCAGCATTCACAGCAAATAGCAGAAAACCCTGTTTCAAACATGTGGAAGGCACAGCCCAGTTCTCCAGGATGTTCCCCCCACATTGAGTGTGGTACTGACCCCATGCCTAAGCATCCATACGTATATACATTACACTAACACAGAGATGGAAAGAGAAGGAACAAAAGGGAAAACTATCGCGGTACCTTATTACTAAATATAATTTCTATGTATGTCAGAATCACACACTATAATTTTTATAATTTCTACACTTGTATTAAAGTTGCTTAGCCTTATTTTTAAATAGAGAAGCAGCCCTTTCTGACCCTGGTCCCAAGGAACACCTGTTGTAAATGCCATTTAGTCTTGAGCACAGCCATGTACTGCTTGTAAGCTCACTCATCTTAGCCTTCTTTTTCATGCCAGCTGGTATCACATGTCAAGGCTGAATATATCTGTGCTGATGTCAGAGAGTCACATAGCACCAAAGGGGAAGCAAGGCCAGCCAGAAAGTCTCTGCATTCTCAATGAGGAAAACTAAAGCAAACTTACCAAAAGATATCTTCCAAATAGTTAACATTGTCATTTGAAACTCAGGGTCTCAGAATTAGATCCTTTAACACCAAATGCCAAGGTGGCACCCAAATTAAATAGTTGAAGCCTTTGTTCTTTGCTTTTCAAAATCAAGCTAGTTACACACACCAAACAAACAAACAAAAGAACAAAAAAGACAGCAAAAACATAGTTTCACTAGGCGAGGCAGTAACATTTATTGTAACTTACTGTGTGACTTAAAAATAGAATCAAATAGAAAAGCATTCTCTTTCTCAGTTCAGCTTGGTTTCCCAACTAGCGCGAGAACTATCATGTGGTCATCTGGTGAGCACTTAGTCCTACTGACTCTGTCTCCACCTCCACGGTACTTCCTAGGGTAACTTTTCTTCCTCCATAACTATCCTAGCTCTATCTCCACGGTACTTCCTAGGCTAACCTCTCTCCCTCCACAGCTATCCTAGCAGCTTGAATCAGACTCACGGCTTTTCCCCAGACTGTTTCCAGAGCTTCCTTGCCCATCTTTCTGTTCCACATCACATTCCCTGATAGTCTTTCTCCAAGCCTCACACTAATTACATGCCATCATTTACATAAGACTCAATAATAAGTCCCAAGCTCTTTCCCAGTTAACCACGAGCCTCTCATCTGTGGCCGATCCTGCGCTCTAGGCTTCCACTCTTCCTGCCATTGCCCTCAAAAGCATCCTGGGCTTCAACTTTAGCAATAACAAACGCTCGGATAGCTTACAATAGGCATCTTCTACAAAATAAAAAAGGTAACTCAACCAACCTTATACCTGTCTTTGAAAGTAAATGCTCCCATTGTGCCATCTCTACATATGGGTAAACTGAGGCATGGAGAAGTTATTTAATGAACTAAAGTAGAACCCAAGAAGTCTGTCTCCAGAGTCTGTTCTTCTAACTGTCTCGCTATACTGTCCCTTTTAGGGCAGTGTCTAGGCCTCCTCTCCTTCTGCCTGTAGATTCCTGGCCCTTCTTTCTCACCCGTTTTCTGCTCTGGAGCAGTCTGTCTTTGTTCAGAATCCAGTTCAGCCATGTAGAGTCCTGCACCTTCCCTCTGTGCTCCCAGGACAGCCTGCACGGACATTAAATGTCCCTTTGCACAATGATTACAGTCTCTGGGCACATCTCTTCTGGACACTGCCATTTGGAGCAAACCAGACATAGTTTGTGTCTCAGCTCAGTACATAAAAGTTAGCACACAGCAGACGTTCAGTAAGTGTTTGTTCTCCAAATAAAACACCCATCTCTGAGATAGGAGGCCTTTAATAGTAATAATAAAGCCTTAATAAACTAGAAAGTGAGAATATTTAAAAACTGTAATTTTAAATACAAAAACCCTTGTTCTGCACTTTTCAAAGAAAATGTATTCATTTCAGACTGTATAGAGTAAATGTCTAGTTGATAAAAATGGTTGAGTACTGATGACTGATAAAGCAGGGTTTTACTACATTCTTTAATACAGTTTATGAAAAACTAAACTGCAGAAAGTGAAAATGAGAACTGGTATCTCACACCATCACAAATCCCTGCCTAAAACAATGAACCCCTTATCATCACTTAGATTGAAATGATTACCAAGAAGAAGGCAAGTCGTACGGAAGAAGTGATGAAATGGGCTTGGGCGCTTGCTGTGGGGGATATACACAACAAGTCATTAGAATGCGTTAGTAACGGTGACAGTTCTAGCCAGTTCTCATCCACAACCAAAATGAAACGTCACTGCTTTTAAAATTACATTTTGTCATGTCTCTGTGCATTAATACTTTTAACATCTTAATCTACATGGTTATTGGTGATTGTAAGATCAAGTTCAATTTAGTTTTCTTGTAATTATTACATCTAATGGAAATAACCATTAGCACAGCAATACCTTGTGCTGCTGGATCAGGCACTATCAAAAGATTAACTTCTGGGTTTTTGTTGTTGTTGTTGTTGTTGTTGTTGTTGTTGTTGTTGTTAATATACTTACCTTTACAGAGCAGAAGGCACACTTTTTAACTGATTCATGGTTAAGATTTAATCACAGTAAGGGGGAGAACTTTAGAAATCATTTTGAAAAATTAAGGAAATTTGACAATCTGCATAGCTATTTGAGTATAAGACATATTTGAGAGGAGGATTTATGCATATTGGTTAATAATTTTAATTGGCATTCATTGTAAATTACATACCATTTTATATAAAAAGAAGCTAACAGCTGTTTCTTTATTTTGATTGTCAATTGTTTACTATTTTATGCATTTGGTTGTTAAGCATTGCCACTTCTGGAATGCTTAATTTACATCAGCTAAATAGGTGGAGCCGTGTGGTTCACTCTGTACTACCAAGGATGCACACAACAGACAAATAAGAGGACTTGCTTTCCAGGCGTAGACAGACTTCGCCAAACCTTCGCTCACGACTCAGCACCTTCAGCTGAGTCCTTGTGCTCCAGATAAGATACAATTAGCATCACAATCCATTTGCAGGAAATGTTTTGTGATCACATCATCACAAAACTCTACACTTTTTAAAATTCAAGTAGCAGTGAAAAGAAAAACAGCATACTACAGAACCAAGTCAGAAGAGGCAAGGAATGCACTGCTTAAACGCTTGTACATCTCTTATTCAATAATTAAAAAAAAATATTGGTGAAGTGACTAAAGTTTCAATTTATGAAGATGACTTAGTATTTTAGCATTTTG